TGCATGCACCTTCATCCACACAGGTGCACACACATCCATCACAGACACACACAGATACACACACACACACACACACACACACACACACACACACACTTACATCACACTATGTAGGGACAAATATTCAACAGTATGTGAAGAAAAGACATATTTTTCAAGAGGGGATGCCCAGATCTAATAACCATAGGAAAAAATGATGAACATCCTGTGGAATGAAGGCATACAAATTCCTTCACATTCATTGGCCAGCACGTCTTGCTCAATCAGTACAGAGAACCTGCCTCCCAAGAAAAAGATAGTGATGTGGAGTGGGCCTGTGAGAGAGCTCAGAGGGCCAAAGTGATTGCCACCAAACCTGACGACTTGGGCTTAAGCCTCAGGACACATGTGGTGAAAGGAGAGAAGAGATTTCTACAGGCTGCCTTCTGACCCCACATGTGCACTGTGCTACATGCTTTTCTTAAAAATAATAAATGTACTGAACAATTTAAAAACAAAAAGGAGACTAGGCAGGAAGCAATACAGGAAGGCAAATGATGTGGACCTCTAGCCTGCACCTGCGCACCCACACAGGTGGACATGCACCTGAAGGCATGCACACACTGACGTGCAAACTCATGCCCAGATGATATGTCATTTCCTTTTATCAGAGTGAGAGTTCAGAAGACGGAAACACAAGTTCTGTAAGAATGACTACTTATCAACATTGTTGGTATGTGTATAACTTTGCATGGTAACCTCAGATATTGTTTTTGTGCTCCTAGCTAAGTAAATATGTATCTGTCTAGCAATACACTAGTCTAGAGAAAGTCTTACATGCATGGAACTGGAGAGTGTTCAAGGATTGTACTAGTTACAACCTAAGATCCATCGACAGGGCAAATTCCAAATGCCCATAGAACAGGAAGATAGACAGGTACACAGACTGTAGGATATCGACCCAAATGGAAAACTCAGCAGTGAAAATAAATCCACCAACATGGATGAATCTCATGAAAGTAAGTTATAAAAAAGGAACCACAGGGAAAGAGCATGCACATTGTGAGTCATTTGTACAAAGTTCACCAAGTGTGCAAAATGAAATCAGCATTTGTGGGAACAGCAGTCAGAACATCAAGTACTTCTTTATTTAGGGTGGTGGCTCTTTCTATCTAGGGTGGAAAGGTAGGAGGGAATGGAGACATGAGAGGCTGATAATGTTCCCCCTCCCCCTTTTTTTAAAGCTGGGATAAAAGCTCATGGGTGTTTGAAGTATCATTAGTATTTATTTCTGTCACATATGTTAGAAACAGTCTTGCAAGTGGTTCTGTGTTTAATAGTAACAAATTATAAAATAGAATATACATCATTTAAATACTTATTCTGTAATTTCAAGTTAGATGTGTCTGGACCAGGAATAAAACTGACAAATACAAAAGAAGTTTAAATCAGTCAGTTATACTTTTCATTAAGATAACACAAAAGATGGGTAAGGTGTGCCCTTCTTGTACACTGCTTGGCTAGCTAAGGTTTTGGGCCATCTGAAGCCCATTGCAGGCAGGCTCCACAGGGAACCACTAGCCCAGGCATTGTTGGGCACATGCAAAGGCCACACAGCTACCAATGGAGAATAAATGACGTTCTTCATAAATTTCACGGAGATGAGGAATGAATTACACTTTCATGGGAGCAGAAAGCATTTTTGCCTTCTTCCTCTGTGTTTGGGGATGCTAAGCACGCACTTTAGCAGGCCCCCACCCTTCATGCTGGTCTACCTTTAGAGAACCATTTTGTTCTCCTCTTAGATTCTCTTACGTTTTATCTGCCGGACTTTTATTAAGCACTCAAAACTATTATTCCCTCCTCCAAATGCCTCACATTTGTCTCTGGATTTCTCACGCTCTCTGCAACATTGAGCTTCACCAGAAAGCTATTCTGTACGCTCGTTTTTCTTCGCCTGAGTTTTCTACTTAGTTTCAGTTTTTAATGAGGTTATATTTCTAAGAACTTTGTCCCAGAGACTTATTCATTAGTTATGAAGATTTTATCCCTGTTAACTTTGTTGGAACTAATTTCTCTAATGGTCTAATTTGCTAAATTTCTCTGCCAAACTAATCCTCACGGCTGCAGGAAGCCAGAAAGAACTGGTGTGGTCTACCTGCTTTTCCTCACCTGTTCTATGAAGATGGTTGTTATTTGTCTTGATAAAACTTGGATGCCTAGAGACAAGCTTAAAATAAAAGATGGAAACTAAAGTGTCCCAGAATCCTCAGTAGAATGGTGCCCTTACTTTTGTGTTAACACTTTGCCTGGGTTTCTCTTTGTCCCTACCTAAATTCTGTATTATCATTTTCCTACAACCAGACTAACACAAATGACCAGGAAAGCAAGTCTCAAATGCAGAGGCTCAAATCTGGTGCAATACAAAGTGTCTAAAATCCACAGTATCCATGTCCTAAATCTATGGGCACAGAGACTAGTTCATGTTACAGAAGCACCCAGCCCCTTGGTAGTAATCTGGATTTCAACAATTTTACTGTGGCAGACTAAATCTAAGCTTCTATTAGACCATTACCTCCAAATTTTCTTTTTGATGTTCTTGATGATGAAAATGGGGGAAATACATAGTATCTACCAAACAAATTTGATCAAGTGTGTATGTGTACATGTACATACATGCGTGTGTGCATAGAGAGGTCATACATTGAAATTGGAGGTGACAAAATCATGTTAATAGGGAGGAAATGTGTTGTAGTAGTTCAGAGGCTGGGAAGAACTTCATACTGGCTTCTATTTTTGAGCTATTTTTTAGTGATAGCTCATGAATGTCTAGATCACCTGGCTGTCTCAGGAATCTTGAAAATTTAAAAACCAAGTCATAATACATGTAAGGTTGACAAGACCTTGTAAAACCTTATTAGCACAGATATATAAGCCTCATATGTACCTGAATACTAATAATATCAAGGTAGAAACTTGTAATAAACTGAGAACAAGTCCTTGAGTAACTTTGTTACAGATTTTCCTAACCAATAACCTAAGTATTATCCAGTTAGTGCATTAGCTTAAAATAGTCAAGCCATAAGTCACACAACTATTGATGGATCGTGGTCCTGGATGAAGTCATTTAAATGTGTCTGTGAATTAGGATGTGCATGCTCTGATCAAGTGCAACTGTGTGCCCTGTAACTACAAAACACTGGCAAATCCCGAGACTAACTGCTGCGGCTGTGCCGAGAACCACTGCTGTGGCTGTGCTGAGAACCATTGCTCGGGCTGGGGCTCTATAAAAACTTTGCTCTCTATCTAGGCTTCTGCGACTTGGAAGTCCTGTACCTACTCAGCAGGGAGCCACTGAAACTGGTTTAAAATATGGCGACCTCTAAAGTCACGGGTGGTAGCAGGCTAGGGACTTGCTCCTTACCTCACTAGGCTCTGGTCATTTCTCCCAGGATCTCGGTGCTATGCCGACTTGACTTGCACTGCAAGGATTAATTTATTTTATTTAATCACTCTTGAGCTGACTTTGCAGTACAATGCTGGCCTGGGCAGGTGGCTCGGTAGGTCAGGGTACTTACTGAGCACCCGAGTTCAACCCTCATACCACACATTTTGGAAGGAGACAGCCAATTCCCCCTCACTGTCCTTTGACCCCCAAGTGCATTCTGTGGTATGAGCATGCCTCCACCATAAATAAATCAACAAACATAATTCTATAAAAAGAATGTGCCATTCTGGTTTGAAGGGAAACTATAGAGGCAAGAAGTCATGTGAAGACCTTTCCTGCTGATTCCTCAGAGAGAGAAGCATAGGGCAGTGTTGGGTCAGGCAGGGACTGTCTATATCTGGAGTCACTCCTGTCTGGGGTAAAATTCCACCCCTACAACCTTCCAGCTATCAGATAATTGTAGAGGATGGACGAAAACAAGATTTTCATTCTTCTTAATTTTGTAGTAGATGATGCCTTGATTTTGGAAACAGAATGATGGACAATAGCTGTGGTGGCGTGAATAACAAGCGCACTTCCCAAGAACAACTGGGTGGCAAGGCTTAGTGCAAGGACCCCAGATTTTAGAACCTCCAAGTCACAGCTTCCCTCTCCCTTTCTCTATGAACTTAAAAGGCAGGGAAAGAGGGCAAGGTTGAGTTCTAGATGTACAAGAAGAATTCAACTTAGTTATGTAGTTGCTGGGGCTGTTTGAGACAGGACAGGAATATATCTAGAGTTATGTTGTTTTGTTTTGAACCTGTTGATGCAGAATGAGTTATTCCATCAATCATCACCTGAGTATGACTGTTACTTTAAAAATCCCTCCTCATGTGCACTCAAACCAAAGCACCTAACTGCTCCAGTTTTTAAGAACAACCTATGTGCTAGAAGCTGAATCCCTTTCTCCTACTGTGCCTGGCTACCCAATGTCAAAGTCCAAAGGCCAGTCAATAGGAAGGAGACATTCCCAGAGAGACAAGGCCATTTGATTAATGTGTGTGGAGGGGAGGAACATGAAAGGGAAAATAAATTTTGAAAGATTCAACCTCAATGGAAATGGAATTACTGAACTATAGAAGAATAATAGAGCTTGTCTCTATTTCAAACTATTTCTTAAATTTCTTTCCTCTCCCCTCTTCCTTTCATTTCCTCATGAGAAAAATACCAGTATGTTGAGGTTTATCAATCTGTAGACATTTATAAACAGAAAAACAAGAGACACTGTAGTCTTTTATCTTTTTTGGTTTTTGAGAGTGTGAGTCATACTATTTTTCCCAGGATGGCCGCAAAGTTACTACAGCCTTGATTGTCATCCTCCTGCCTCAACCTCCCCAGTGCTGGCATTATAGGGATGCACCACCATACGGGGCTTAATGCTGCAATTCTTTGTGTTTGACCAAATCTTTAAAAGCAAGGTTATGAAACAGAAAGGGTAAAACCTGCTTGTTTGAGAGCATGCCTCAACACCCTCCTGATGCCACAGTGGGGTTCTCATGAGGGTCAAGGAGCTCTGTAATGTGAGGCATCTTACCCTCATTCTGCCGTTCCTTATGGCTGGCCCATCCTCTGCCAATCTCAACACGTACAGATCCATTTTGTATTCCCTTCCTCCACGAATGCTGAATCCAAATCCTTTGGCTCCTTTCTCCATATCCACAGTGAAATAATCAAAATCCTTTGGGAGTGGGGAAAAATGGAAGATGGAATTGTTTAGCATTAGAGGGACTTCAGTGATCAATTTCCTTGTTCCCCTTTCTCTCATAGTTAATGTGTTCAAATAACATGTTGTTAAAAGACACCATCTGCCTTTACAAGACCCAGTTCCAAAGGCTCAAGTAGGTGAGAACAGAGGACTCTGTTAAAGCAAACAGCACAGCTTGGGTTGGCTTTCTTGATAAACTTGCACCTATTGCATGACATCATCCCTTCTAAATTTTCTCATTCATTATTGTTAGCAACATAAATAAGTCTGTCCAACAGTGATGTCTCTCTGTGAGTGTAAACTACAGTTTTATGAGCTGAAAAGTGAACTTGAATGGATTCTGACTGCATCTTTCAGTTGTACACACAACTGACCATCAACTCAGAGGATTAAAAAAAAATAAGTTTTTCTTCCCCCTAAAATGTAGTATGTCTAAGGCTTCCTGACTGTCACCATTCTTAAACTCTGTGGGGATAAAGTTGGTCCTTAATTTAATAATGGGACACAATATAATTGGATAGGATGGAAGTTGTACTTAGTTTCTATCTTGATATCTCATTACCAAGTGATGAATGTTTACCAGACATTGAGCTCTGGTCTTGCTGCCTTGCACAGAGGCTGAGCATTTACCATAGCCTATTGGAAAGAGACGCCCTTGAGGAACTGGAAGCTCTGAGTGGTCAAGGAAGTCTCCGGGGAATGTCCAGTGCCAGCCAAACCCTTTGTTGTGCACACAGGGACTTTGGCCACTGCAGTGGCTGCAGGGTGGATTGTAAAGGTATGCTTAGCTTGGCTCTTTACCACAGAGTGGGAGGTGGGAGGCCATTTAGAAACTATGGCTCTCAAAGACCCCGATGGCTGGAATATGTAAATTTTCTGCACTAGTAGCATTTTGGGGGTTTAGCAGGAGCTTACAAACAAAAGCTGTTGACAAAGCTTTTGGAGTTAGCTGGCTAACTATGGCTAAGTTCTTGGAGTTAGCTGGCTAATTATCACCAAGGATTAGTTTATCCGTGACTACCTACTCACTCTTGATTCATTATGGATGAATGTCCTGTTTATTCTGGAATAGATTTATTTATGCACTGAAGTTTTGGAGATGCACTTGTTCTCCCATACCGACACTGAGAACAGAGCCCTGGCCGTCTGCTCCAGCAGGGTGTCCTTTCTGCATCCCTTCTACAGCATGGCTCGCACATGAGGAAGTCTTAGTGAGGACCCTGTGGTCTCCAGCAGAGGTACCTGTGGCTGCCTGTAGTCTGACAGGGGGTACTGCCTGGTGTCTGGGGAGTGCTGCCGGTAGTCCAAGGCTGGGGGCTGCGGGTAGTCCCCTCCTGGGGGTTGCCTGTAGTCCAGCGGGGGTTGCCTGTAGTCTGTGAAGGGAGGCTGCCGGATGTCTGGCTTCACATCTTGCCTTGCTTTAACTTCTGACCTGTAACTAGATAAAGGAAAAGGGAGTTTGCTTTCATATTTCAGAACTCTGAGGAGATTAGAAAGACTCTAAGCATGGTCCAGCCACCACAGCTTGTGGGGACCCAATCTTTGAATTGGTCTCATTACATATTTAGGATTTAAGAAACTGTTAACAAATGTCATATTATATACTTACATTTGGCTCCTTAAGAAATCAACATAAACAGAGCAGTGGTGGTGCATGCCTTTAATCCCAGCACTCAGGAGGCAGAGGCAGGTGGATTTCTGTGAGTTCCAGGCCGTTTGGTCTACAGACCTAGTTCCATGACAGCCAGAGTTACACAGATAAACTTTGTCTCAAAAACCAAACCAAACCAAACCAAACCAAAACCAAACCAAACCAAACCAAAGAAACAAAAGACAAACAAACAAGAGAAATTGACATAAAAGTGATGTTTCCACCAGAATTTTGTGGGAAGGCATCGTGGGTATTTCTCTCTCACTTGGCTATTTAAACACTGCATAGTCAGGGGTTGGAGGGCTGGCTGCGTAGTTCAGAGCTTGCACTGCTGTTGTAGAGGACTTGAGTTCAGTTCCCAGCACCCACGTCAGGCAGCCCACAACCACTTGTAATTCTAGCTCCAGGGAATCGGGCTCTTTTGCGCTCCCCAGGTACTGCACTCATGTGCATGTTCCCACACACAGACACACAGACATACACATGCATACATAATTAAAAACAAAACAAATCTTTAGAAGAAACCCAGCTGCACAATCACTGCAAATCAAGGGGATTAAACATGTCCTGTCCCTCTCCCTCCTTCTTCCCTCTTCCTGTTTGCCTCCCCTGCCTTTCTCTCGGTCTCTGTCTGTTTCTGTCTCCCTCTCTCTCACATACAAACACAGTGCTTGGCACATCATCATGGAAACACAATTGAAATGATCACTAAGTAGTTTATAGACATGTTATTAACGGCTTTTTTAAAGTTTTATTTTATGTGTATGAATGTTTATATGTATGTATGTGTGAATGGTTGCATGTTGACCTTAGCAGCCAGAAGAGCGCATTAGTGCATGGAACTGGAGTTACAGAGGGTTATGAGGCACTGTGCGCCTGCTGGGAACTCAACCCCAGTCCTCTACAAGAGCAAGGGCTCTTAAGCACTGAGCCATCTCCCCAGTCCCAACCAGGGTTATTTTAACTGCCAAGTTGCATCTTTTGGGGCATTTTAGATGTTAAAGACGTGACAGAAAGCAGTCATCAAATAGAGTGCAGGCCCGGAGTCCCAGCCTCACTGGGAAAACTGGAGCTTAGACCTGCAGAGGCCGAAGCATGAAAGCACAGCTCCTGGATCCCACTGTGGTCATGTGACGGGGGTGGGGGGGTGGGGGCACGAGATGACCCAGTGTGACATTCATTTCTAGCTTGTTTTTAGTTCTTACTCACGTATCAACACAGAGAGCAGAGGCAGAAGCTGAGAAATCTTCCAGACATCCCCACTGCTCTAAGCTGAGGGTGCTCCCTGGTCACAGTGGGAGCGACAGCCAATCTCTGACATTGTGGGATCATGGGTACATGGGTAAGACAAGCCAAAACCTCAGCTTTTACATTTTATAGCTCATGGCCTGTTGCTGCAGTACAAATGTAATTAGATTAAAACAATATTCTGAAGAATTAGCAAAATATTTTCTTTTCTTTTCCTTTTTTTTCCTAGATAAGGGCCAACTATGTAGCTCTGGCTGGTCTTGAATTTGTGATATGCCTCCATCAGCCTCCTGAGATGCTAGGATTGCAGGTGTATGATCCCATATCTGCTGGGATTAAGGGAATATTCAGCACACAAAAAAGGCTCAATGTGTGTAGAATTTTACATAGAAGATGGTGTCTACTCGCTTGTGGTCTGATGCTGATTACTAGCAAATATCAAAACAAAAAGTCAGCCTAGCAGTTACCACTACTATAACCCAGCGCTTGGGGCGGGCACGTGGGAAATGCAGAACAGTGGATGTGTTTGTTCACTTGGGCTTCTTGGGAGGGGTTACTGAGTGGTTTCAATCCCCCCTCCGAATAGGGTACGTTTGTTACTTAACCCTGCAGAGAGGAAGGATGTCCTTCTGTGACCTGCATAACTCAAGCTTTGCTTTCCTCCTCACTAGTCCGTCCACCTACTGAGGTGCAAGCTGTGAACAGAATTATTTAAAATACCATTTGAATAAGATGCTTAACTATGCAAAAGCATGCATTAAACAAAAGGAATCGAACTGGGTGGCATTTGCCAGTGTGTGGTGGTTCCCTTCTAGAAATGGCTAGCTCAGTGGTTTGGATGTCACCTGTTTTAAGGTATAGCATATAGCCACTTTATTTTTATCATCTGTGTGTTATTGGTATGAAATACCCATTTTGTGCTCCGTTTCCAACCAGATGTGCCACCAGTTACAGTAAAAGAGGTGAAATGTAAGACTCTCCCCACAGATTAGGCAAATGACTAGAAACAGGACGAGTGCAGCTCGCTGTGGCTGTCTTCTGGGCCACCAAGCACTCAGATTTCCCTCTACTCCCCTGTCATGTGTCAGGAATTCCAGGCAGCCTCAGACTGAAGAGCTCTTCAATGAGGAAAATGTACTTAACGTTGTATGAATTTGCTAACTTTTAAGTGGGTGACACACTGGCTAGAGCAAAAATTAGGCTGGACTGAATGTGTGAAACACTTCACTTTATGGAAAACATAGAATTAGATGATTGAAAATTAAAATAAAAAAACAGGCCAGGCTCCAGGCTGGGGAGGTGGGTCAAGTTGGGAAAGCACTTGCTCCATAAACATGAGGACCTGAGTTTGAATCCCTAGCACCTGTATGAAAGCCAGGCACAGTGGTGCCTGTAATCCCAGCACTTGGGAGGTGGAAACAGGAGGATCTGTGCGCCTTGCTGGCCAGACAATCTAACCAACTAGTGAGCTCCAGGTTCAGAGATAGACTGTTGCTCAAAACAGTAAGACAAAGAACTGGTTGAGAAGATATCCAACAAACCTCTGCCCTCTGTGTATGCTTGGACATGCACATGCATGCGCGCTCACACATGCACGCACACACACACACACACACACACACACACACACACACACACAGGAGAGAGAGGCTCTTAAGGGTTATTTTACAAGTAAAAAAAGGTCACCAACATAATTCTTATATCTGTTAATTCCATCACTAAAGATACTTTAGAGAGATGGTAAAGACAGATGGCAAAGACAAATTCTGGTAAGCTTTTATGGCGTGATAAAGTTCTAAGACTAGGAAATGCTGCCCAGGAGAAATTCCACAGCTTGAGAGCCTTTTAGGAATCATTTCCAGGGGTAGGAGCTCATGAGACTTCAAGAACTACAGGCAGTTAACAGTGTCAGGCAGAGGGAGAAGTCTTCCCCAGAGAAGTTTCCTGTTGGCTATGCGGTGCTGAGTGGTCAGCCCCAGCAGCTCACACGTGCAGGCAACACTGAAGGGTCTCAGCAGGCTGTATTCATGTGTTGATTTCTTTGTATGTGTGAAACAGTAATGGTTAAAGAGAGGGAGGCCCGTACTTTGGGGGAGGAGCTAGAGATAGGAGAGGCAGGAAAGAGGAAGGGAAGAAATGAAATATTTATATTTTAACTCAACTTAAAAAACAATGAATCATTTTGGGGCTGGAGAGATGGCTCCATGGTTAAGAGCACTGGTTGCTCTTCCAAGGGTCCTGAGTTCAATTCCCAGAACCCACATGGCAGCTCATAATTGTCTGAGGCCATCTTTTGGTGTGCAGATGTACATGCAGTCAAAGTATTCATATACATAAAATATATAAATAAATAAATCTTAAAAAACCACTTCGGGTCTGGAGAGATGGCTTAGTGGTTAAAAGCACTGGCTGTTCTCCCAGGGGACCTTGGTTCAATTCCCAGCACCCATATGGCAGCTCTCAGTTGTCTGTAACTGTAGTCCCAGGGGATCTGATGCCCTCACACAGACACACATACAGGCCAAACACCAGGGCACATAAAATTTAAAAAAAGAGGAAGGAAGAAGAAAAAAGAATCATGTCCAGTCTTGAGTATCTAGGGTTCCAGGGGGGTGAACAAATATGTTTTCCAATGCTCTTCCACAGGCCTTGTCATTTTCAATGGCAAACATCAATTACCCTTGTTGGCGAACTCTGTTCTTTACGCTTAGTTTTGGAATATATTCTACAATAGTTCTCTTCTTTTTAAAGATATCCTTTAAATCTTGCTTTTACTTATGATCACTTTAGAATTATTTTGTGATTCCTGAGTGCATAGGGTAGCATAGGAAGTTAACCTGTGAGTAAATGAGATCACATACATTTTCCAATGCTCTTGGAAATCAATATCACTTATTCTAATTTGCAAAATAGAAATATTTAAGAAGATTGCCATTGTAGTTTCCCCCATTCTTGCATGGGAAATGGCTCACTCTGACATGTAGGTGGGCATGCCTTGTTCAGAAGAACTGTGTGAACTGACTTGGCAGAACTCTAGCCTAATCTAGAAACAGGTTAGAGATGCTGCCTGACACCATGGCCGTCTTTGGAGGAGACCATGAAAACGTTTCTGATTTCTGCAAAATCATTGAATTTTTTGTTCAAACATAAATGAATCACTGGTAACAATAAAAATGTAAGCCAGGGAACCCAAGCACAGGCCTGTAAAAGGCTCTGAGACTGGAGTGGCTGCTTCTCAGGCTGTTCACGTGACTGAGGTAAATGTGTTGTGGTTTGTAAACATTTGAATCATGTAAACATGCTAACTTCACATACAGAAATACTTCATTTTGTGGTCATGGGAGAAGTATTTGCAAAGACCATTGCTTCCATGTCAGGGAGAGGGAGACCTAGTTATAAGCTAGGAGGAGTTGGAACCCTCCACTCCTCGTCCTCTCGTGCTTTGCTCTTCACAGTGGGAGAACCTTTTCTGGAGAGAGGATGGCCAGTGCACAGGGGAGTTAACTAGCTGGTAGAGGTGAGATTACACACCCAAGGGTAGAAGTAAGACTCAAATCCAGGGCAGCTGCACTCGGAAACAAGAAGGATGACCAGATGAACTACAATGGCAAAGCCAAGAGCAGGAGTGTGAGATAGCTGAGGGCTGAAAGTGCGCCGAGTCTTCCCTCCAGCCTGGCATGGAGCCTGGGAAAGCCAGTGCCGTCTGTCCAGATGACACTGATGCAAGCAAGCTCAGCTGGGCTCAGCACTGAGGCCACCAGAACTTACCCTTCTTAGGAGCTGTCAGTCTCTTATCTCTGCATCATTTGCTCAATGGGGCTTCTCTTCCCTAGCATACATTAAAAACATAAGCAGCTAAGGACAGCCAGGCACTCACTTTCTATGAAAGCATATGGGAAAATCATAGCAGAATGGGTTTTATGGGAATGTGGTTCAAGGGAAATCATTGTTCTGAGAAGGTGTGAAGGATGGAGCCAGGGAGTTCTGAAAACCAGTCTTACTCCATCTTCACTGACAAGGCATGGGCATGGGAGTAGCCGTTCAGGAAATGCTGGAATCATAGGCTAAGGAGGCATTTGCATTCAGGTATGTTCTGCCTTTCTCCTGTTGGAGGAAGGAAAACATACTGGAACACATCCTTCTTTATTTCTCAAATGGCTCAACCCAAGCTGGGCTCTCTGTTACACACAACTCACAATAAGACATTTTCATAGGACATTCCTGTCTTCTAGTCTCATTATTAGTTCAGGGGGTCCCATGTATGGAATGGGTAGCTCATTAGATTGTAGAGAGGACAGTGTAAAGTTCTCACTCAGTTAGCCGAAAGTGTGGACAGTTGTGATTGGCTAGGAGTTCTCTGCTTCCCCTCCCCTCCACACTGCCATTGAGCTTCAAAGTACCATGTTTATGGCTCAATGCTTTTCTTCAGCCATCTTTCCATTCTTAATCTGTTTTACCCTGCCAGCCATCAGTCTGCTCTGCAGAGGGACAAGTGACAGTCTTAGTAAAGAGAATCCAGAGGTGTCACTTGCCAGCCTGAAACCTATAGCAACTCCCTGCTCTATTAGGACAAACGAGAGGACTTTCAACATGCTTACCAGAGCCTTCGGGGTTGGCTTCACCCTCACTGGACTCATCTCTAGCTCTTCCATACCCTATTTCACAACAACCCTGGCCTTGCTCTGTCCTTCATGTTTGGGTTTCTCTCCTGCCAGAGGACCGACCCTTCTCATTCTAGAAGCTCCTTAACGCTCTTAGTCAGTTAACACAAACTAATCTGTGATGGCTCAGCATTCCTGCAGAGGAGCATCTCTACTGCGCAGGGCAGACGTTGAGTTATATTTACTAATGAAACAATATATTAATCTCCTCCCTGCTGAAACCATATAAAACTACACATAGTAAGTTGAGCTGTATGAAAATCTCTCTCACTGCTTGCTGTGAACTGTCCCCATACATTCCTGTATCACCTCTCAGACTCAGAAAATTCAGAGGAAACATTACCTGTTTTCATGTCCTTGTAGCTGAAGAGGTTGAGGAGGAGCTGGTTGGGCAACAGGGCTGTTGGGGGTAGCTGGGCTTGGCTGGGCCAGAGGGCTCTGCTGGGCCAGAGGGCTGTGCTGCTGGGCCATGGGACTTTGTTTCTCCGAGCTGGGTGCCGATGCCGGGCTGTTGAGCTCTGATGGGAACCAAGGCAACAGATGTGGTCAGGTTGGCATCTGATCAGGAGCAAGAAGTAAACAGAGGTTGGAACTCATCCCTCCTTGTGTGATTCCAGGCCTTGGTCATTTCAGTTTCTGCTGGGCCTTTCGCTAGCAGGTTAAACTTACCAAGGTTCACACCATTCCTGGAAGGAGTATTCTTTCATTAATCACAATCATTACTGAGTCAAGTTATGAAAAGTCTTGTCATTTTGTGAGAGGAAAGGTCACAGAAGCAAACAAACCAAAGTAGGAACAATGTACTAAAACTATGGGTAAATTACTCAAAGGAACAAGCATAAAATATTTTGATATCTATAACTATTCCAATGTTGCTGAGAGAAAATGTTCTAGCCAACACCTTTTGGCTGTTTAAGAAATCTTTCTTCCTTTGCTTTAGACACAGCCTCACTCTATAGCCCTGCTGATCCTGGAAAGGTGGTCTTTACTCCACCTGCCAAGGAGCTGAGTGGTGGGGTGTATGCCACCACAGTCTGCCCAAGGCTTCCAACACATGGGCAGGAGGCTAGCTGTGGGAACTGAGACTCTGTTACAACCTCTTCTCTGGCCCCTAGCCAGACATACTAAGAGTCATTTGTGCCTACAGTTCTCCAGGAAGAGTAAAGAACTCCACACATAGGAGATTCATGAGACTATTCAAAATCTGCTTCTTGGTTTTTTTCTTACCTTAACAACATAAAATTTCAGTGGATATGACCTCCAATGTTAGAGTAAAGGCAGGACCAACACTTCAGACTGGGAGGGCAGAGAAGCATGCCCATGCCTGGTCTATAGAAGACAGTTCTGCTTATACTTCATTTCCATTGACTGTCTTATACAGACTGGTGCCTTCAGACAACATACTAAAAGCATGGCTCTTATCATTGGTCTATCTGTCTGTCTGTCTGTCTGTCTATTTTTGTAGTTAGGTAACAAAGGGAGGTAGCCTATTTGTATTTTGATATAAACCACTTTTCTATCTTCTATTATAGTCCAAATGTCTTAATATCATCCCTGTTTTTATTAGGGATCAACTTTACACTCTTCACATTTGGGTCAGATAATTCTTTACTGTGGGGCACTGTCCTGAGCATTATAGGATGGTTAGAAGCATCTCTGACCTCTATTCACTAGATGACAGTCATATCCCCGCCCCAATCATGACAGTCAAAATTGTCTCTAGACAGTACCAGATATTCCCTAAGGGTCCCAAATCTCCCTAGTTAGGAGCTTCTGTTTCATAATTAAAGTCAGGTGGCTGGCTACTCTGCCATTTAGTGTCCACATATCAGACAGTCTACGTGGCATGGGTAAGAGGCAGCTGAGTCAAATAAAGAATGCAAAAGGAAGCCCAAGAGCCCCTGGAGGGGACCCGTGGCTACTCATCAGTGCGTTCCAAAGATGAACTTCTTCAGTTCCATTGATGAAGCAGAAGCTACAACCCAGCAACCAGCCTGCTGTGCATGGAAATCGTAAAAGAATGTAGATGGGCCTCAGTTGTGAGTGTGGGTTGTTTACTGTTCTGAAACCTTTGGGTGTTAGGGTTGGAGAAATTGTACAGAGAAATTTGAAAGGCTAAGTGTTAATTTTACATTCTTATCAGATGTAACATTTGTTAAATGAGCTCTCTTTGGACTGCAAAACCAAATCTTCCCCAGGCGTTTCAAAATCAATCTGACTTTGAAGACTTTTCTAGAGATTAATTATTAACATGAGCAAGCATCTTCTCCTCTGTCTTTTTTTTCTTTCTTTCAGGTTTGTATTGCTACCTGCTGGGTTGAGTGAGTGCTGGCTTTAAATCTCCGTAAAACTAGTATGCCTGAGACCCCAGGGAGGGCTCTGGTAGCCCTGTCTTGGGATTCCTACCGCTGAGCCTGCAGTACGGTTCCTTTCTAATGAAGCTGCTGAGTGTGGGTTTGGTACAGAGTGGAAACGGCGTCAACCTCTGACACTCAGACAGCACCTGGTGTCAGCTGCTGGCCTCCAGAAGCTGGGTAGGCAGGCTGAAGAGCCCTGGGTGAATCTGTGGTCTGACTGTCTCTCTAAAGGCCACCTCAGGCACTCACCCTCCTGAGGAATGATGCGAAGGGTGACACTAAGACCCGCATCCTTGATGAGCTTCACGATGTCAGCGTGAGGCATGCTGATGATAGACTGGCCGTTGACTGCTAAGATCCGGTCTCCCACTTTTAGTTTTGCACAGCGATCTGCAGGACTCCCATCAATGATGCGTCCGATTTTATGGGGCACAGCTAAAAAAACCCCAACAGAAATAGGTATCAGGGACATCACCAGTATATGTTCTATCTTCCAGTCCCACCTAAGACAAGCAATACAATGCCAGAATTCTTTCCTTTGCCAATGTTTTCGCCTTTTCACACAACAACCATTTCTAATAAATGTGGTTCTGTGCATACTACTGAGACCACAGTTCCTTAATTCAAGTCCTTTGCAGTGACAGGCCAATTCTAAACCCAAAGAGCAGAGGTTCTCAAATTTTAAGGTGTATTAAACTCATCTGAGGATCAAATATAAGCTCTCTGAGCCTTCCCAAAAATAAGAATCTGAATGTCTAGTCAGGAAACATGAACCATGGATTTCTAAAACAGCTTCTTGGGAGAGTCCAGTACATATCAGTGTTTGAGAACCACAGGTGTAGAAAAGTGTGCAAAAAGCTCAAACTTGAGAGATAGTGGTACAGCCTTAGGGAGTTACAATAAATGACAGGAACTTAATATGTATCTCCATCTTATTGACAGAAGGAAAGAGGGGAAATCCTTAAATATCCACTGATCTGGGGAGCAGCTACCTGTCCAAGCCACAGAACTTACCTCAAGTCTGATAAGATTTAGTTTAAGGGCAGCAAGTTTTCTATCATCCTTTCCTTTCCACTTCACAAGGTGGCCCTGAGAACACACCAATGTCAAGTGTCCAATGGATTTTATCAATCCAAGATGCCATTAGTGGCAAAGATACAATTTTAAAGGTCATAAGAAAGAAAAAATAGAAACCTGCCCCTTAAATAATTATGCTCATTAACCAGAAGATATACTCCAACTGCTGAGATATTAAAATATTGTAAAAGTTTTAGAGTTGGTATAACTTTTATGTAATTCTTTAAAAAATGAACACATTTTACTTTAATCTTTATATGTTTGAGAAGAGCCAGATACGTGGGGATGCATATTTTTCCAGCAGGATTACTGACATTTAGTGTAAATGGTGGACTACATACCAAGGTTGCTGTGTCTGGGCTCAGATCTCAATAGTACACAGTGTCTCATGTGTCCCTTCAAAGAACTTATAATCTAAAAACCTGCTAATGGATCAGGTAATGAGCTAGTGTGCAGAAACAGAGGTAGACACACCCACTGTTCAGATTCTCTAAGGATGTCGACACCTTGAGCTCTCAATTTGGCACATGTGTTACAGTGAAGGGTGGATTATCAACTAATAACCATGGAGAGAAAGGACAATTAGTGAGTTAATGAACTAAGACCTTGCTCACTATTCTACTGTGGAAGGTTATAGATAGCATAGAAAAATATTAGCCATGTTTGTGTCCCTGAAGTGAAACTCATCATGTTTGAGCCCCAACTCATTTTTGTTTACCATAAGCACTAATGTGTTTAATTAAGAGAGTGCTATTTAGAGTGTACTAATGACCATTTTAGAGTCATAGACTGTATTTCTTGGCAGAAATGTAATAAGAACAATTACTGATTCAAAAGCTAATAATGTGGGGAGCAGTGAGGTGGCTCATCAGGTAGAGGTCCTTGCCCGGACTGATGACCCGAGTTTAATCTCCAGATCTCACAAGGCAGCAAGAGAGATCTGACTCTGCGGAGTTGTCCTCAGATCTCCATGGTACACTGTGGTACTCCTGCACTTACACACACACACACACACACACACACACACACACACACACACACACACACACACACACCATACACATACTAAAAGGAATAAATGTAAAAAAATGTAGATATTGGAAGATTTTTTGGTTTGGTTTTCAAGTATAATTAGGGGAGAGGTTTTTTTGCTTCTCTGTTTTCTCCTTTCCATGCTCAATATTTCTTGGAATGATCTATAAATAGTTTGGCTTTCCTGCCCATAAATGTGGACACTGTTATCTTTCCTGTGATCTTTGGGAAGTTGGCTAAGATCTCTTAACCTTTTCCAACTATTCTTGGGATAATAATGTCACCAACCTCATGGTAGTTCTTAGAACTAGATGACCCATCATGTGTAGGTGGCTAGTAGAACAGTACCTGAACCTTAAGAGATAATCTCAAAGTATTAACTATCATTCTTTTTATTACTATTTCCTTTCAAATCTTTCTTACATAAGTGTGTGTGTGTGTGTGTGTGTGTGTGTGTGTGTGTGTGTGTGTGCCAACTTGGCTTTTTTCTGTATGGGATAACTTATAAACATGAAACCTAAGGGGACGTAAAGAGTACCATCCTTCAAGCATCACATGGGAAACAACTTCATTTAAGAAAAAATAGATGTGTTTCAGGGATTAGATTGACACTGGATGAGGCATGTCTGCCTTTCTCTGATTTACCATCAAAATCATTGCACATATTTGTTGAAAACACCAGCTTGGAGCTAATAGTTTATTATGCAAAGGGAAATCAACATAGCATGGATCCTTTGGTTATCTACTTTTGGATTTATTGAGGGCTAGTAACAATTCCTTCTACTTCTTTTGAGTATTTACTAACATGAGACAAGCACTTTGTTAAATGATACCTATTTATTTAACATTTAAATTTAATTTCTATTTAACATTTATTTATATAACATGAACATTAAAATTTAATATTTAATAAACAAGTTATTTATAGATGTAGTTGTATTTATATTAAAATGCACAAATGTAACCTTTAAGTCCTATAAAGTAACTGATACCATGATGAGTGTGCCGTGGAAGAAATGGGTAGAAAGCAGATGTCAGTTAATAATTTGTTCAAGGTCACAAAGGGCAAACAGGGCTCAGAGCCCCAGTGACCCAGAGCCCAGTCATCAGAGCTCTTGGAGAACCCACCACTCTACCTCTTGGCTTTGCCTGATGTTCAACCTCTAGCCTACAACTCACTTTGAGCGTCAGCCTGGTGCTTTTATTTGGGACTGTACCCTGCCTCTAAGCCAGGATTCACAAACAGTGCATGTGCAGGGCAGACGCAGGGAAGGGTGGGAGCCAGGCACTGGGGATGCTTTGATGACGGGATGCTTTGATGCAGCGGAGGTACGGCAGGAGAAAAAGAGGGGAAGGAAAATTGGATACTCCTTAGATCCTGTTTAGTTAGGACTTCACATCACTGTGCCATTTCTTTGCTTGAAGAAATTTGGGGACGTGTCTGAGAAACGCTGACATTTGGAATGAGATTTAAAAATCTACTGCAAACACTGACAAATGGTGCTTGGACAGCTGGTTTTCTGCTTTGACTTTTTGCACCTCTGTCCTCTTCTCCACCGCACTGTGTCATCTGGATTTACTGGGCATAAAATCCCAAAGGTTTCAAATACTGTCTCCTCCCTACAATTTTGTGTACTCAACAACAACGAAAACAAACAACCCAAGGTTATTATTCATTTCCAAGTGCCATTCGAAGCTCTTTTTCAAATCCTTCCAGCATAGTAATCAAGCACATTTTTCTATTAAGAAAACATGCTACGTCAATCCAACCCCGGAATCCTTGCCTGCCTGTGGCATCAAACCTTGGGGTGGTTCCTTTCTGATGGATCTGTGGGATCTGGAAGTGCTTGCTCCACAAGGGACAGGGGAATGACTTGTCTGACTGTTGAAAGCATGCTGCCTGAAATCTCAAGATGAACATGGCATTTTAACTTTCTTTCAGTAGTTAGAATAATGTTGCAATAAAAAAAATGAAATGGAAACAAATTCTATGTTAGCCACCCAGAATGACAGAATGCTTTACATAAAACCCAAAATGAACACTTCAACGTGTGCTCAGTTATCAGAAGCCCTGATAAGGTTCTGTTGGCATCTGCTTTAATACAACCAGCATTGGAGACTCTTGGCATCTGAAGCAGCCTCACTTTTTCTTTATTGGCATTTCTGCTACATATGCAAGTACATTCTGATGCACAACATATTTTTGACAAGGGTGCTTCCAAAGAGGATTCTTCTGGGAACAAGACGAAGTCCCATTGCTCAGAGATAAGGTCTGCAGAGCTTATGCACCCCACCCCCTACCTTCTGTGTGGTGCTAATGGAATTCCAGAGCAAGGAAGAGGCCCTGACCTAGGTTTCTACTATTGGGATGAATGGTACTCGTTAATTCTGTGAGAACTGATGACTAAGGTAGCCGCTGGAGTGCAGTCTGTTTAGATGCATGCCTTGCAGACATCATCTGTCAGAGGCAACATGAATCAAGTATTTGGATCGGCCTTCCTGCCATGGTGTGCTTAGGATGCACAGATATTGGGGGAAGTCACAGTGCGTCATTTGGCTTTGGACATAGATTTGGGAATGAGATGATATGTCACTAGATAGGAATTTTAATTGAAAACCCCAAATTATAGAGAAAGAAATGCATATTTCCTGCTTAATTATTCATCTCATACCAATTTCTTTGCAATACAATTTGTACTTTCCCAGAGTTGAGTCACCTGTTTTCCCAATGCCCAGATAACACATTTTTCTTAGAAATATTCGGAAAAAAGTCTCTTGGCCTAGGTTCTCTCCATAGTGAGTTCTAAAGGCCCAGATCCTGGCGTCTCCAGCAGCAGCACCACAGGAGACAATGCTGTTCCTTTTTCTCTGCGTGGGCTCCTTACTGGGTCTCTGTACGGCCAACTCAGGCTTTCACAGATCCTTCATGGAAGTGGACTGAGTCAGCTGATGAATCAGCTGAGTGCTGCCTTAGGTCAGCTTCCATGAAGATGGTATTGTGACCACCTCGTAGAACTTGCCTGCTTATTGGTTTTTGTATAATTAAAATGCATTTATTCACTCATTTGTTTGAGACAAGGTTTTGCTATGCTTTCCCAGTTGGCTTGAATCTCTGCATCCCAGGCTGACCTCACAAGCCTCCCCCTCACTTCACTTGCAGAGTGCTGGGATTATAGGCATGCACCACAACGCTCAGCTATTTTCCTTCCTTTGCTGCAATCCTGGGAGAAGAGACTATTAGATCCTTGCCCTTTGTCACTATTTCAGTATTTTCATTACACATTACTTAGGTGTTTTTCACCCCAGAGAAAGGGAAGCTTGCCACT